CATACATTCAAATTTGTCCATAAAAAATAGAATGGATGGGTTCGGTTTCTTTTTAATCGACGTTTAAAACAAAAAAAGAACGCATTGGAAAAAGTCATCAATTCGCCTTAGTTATTTTAAATAATAATGATATTAATAATAATTGTTTTAATATAGCGTTTTTCAAGAATAAATGCTATACAATACATTTTTACCCCAGCAGACCATAACAACCCAGAATCTTTCTCAGTGCAAGCAGCTGTTAAGGACACACATGATACAAACCAAAGAAATGGATGTATGGATTGGTATACAGTGTATATTTTTTGGCCTAATTTCATTGCAAATGGTGCAAATAATAAATTTCTAGAATAAAGAAATTGTAAACCTTCTGCGATGTTCAAAAGTATGCCCTTGTGAAACCATCCTTATTAATCTATACGAATAGTTTTCACTTCAAATTCCATTTCTGTGCAAATTTGCATAAAAAAAAATAAAAACTACCGGTGAAAATTACTCACTTTACTCATTTTAACACGACCGAACTTGTTATTTTCAAGTTCTTTGACAAAAAATTGTTTGTATCATCTGTCCTTGAATTTATTTATTCATTTTATTTTTGCAGTATTTCTACTTGAACTTTTATTTATAACCATCTTAAAATAGAATGTAACCAAACATCCATTTGATTTTGCCTTATCATTCATGTGTAATTGTTATTTTTTTTTTGACGATAACACTAAAAAGTGAAAAGCAAAAAAAAAACCCTCTCATTATCATCAATGTCTCCACCATCGCATTTGTCACAGCCTTGATTCTCCATTGTATGGACTTCATCAGAGTGTTTATCTTTCAAACCTTGGGTAACCTAACAAAAGAAAACCCATAGTTAACTATTAGTTTACTATGTTCAACAATAATGCTCCTATACGAATATGAATAATCATGGCTTTGCCATTCTTGAAAGAAGATGTTTTAAAGAATGTCTCTTCATATTTCTATATAAAATTTGGATTCCATGCTGTGGCCCAGCCCTGCCCCCAGGGGTCATCATTTGAACAATCATGAATCTACGTTACCTAAGGATTCTTCCATATAAATATAATCAATCATATCTTTGCTATTCTTGATAACAAGATTTTTAAAGAATTGTTCTATACATTTCTATATAAAACTTTGATCGGCCCTTGAAGCCCTGTCCTACCCCCAGGGGGTTATGATTTAAACAAATCTGAATCTACCATACCTGAGCATGCGTCCATAAAGAATAAAGAAATGATTATTCATGCCTTTGCTGTTAGTGAGAAGAAGATTTTTAAAGACGTTATAGAAACATACATATGTAAAACCTTTTTTTTAAAACAAACTTAAATCTACACTGCGTGAGGTAGTTTCCATATACATGTTAATATGATCATTCAGTCCTTTGCTATTTTTGAGGTTGCATTCCATTGCGTAAAAAACATTGCAAATAATTGGAAATTATTTGCTGTTTCCCTTAGTAGTTTTGATTTATGGTCACTAGTTTACGAACTTTTCAATAACCCGTTTGATATATAAATATTGGAGAAAATTAAGAAATGTAAACATTTCCTGCTCCATAATTTTGTAATTACAAGGTAACAGTATCCATTTTTATCTATTGCTTAAAAAACATCATATGGCACATTAAGCTCATGAAATGGGCACTCACTTTTAAGTTATATTTCTAAGGGGTTTAAGAAAGTTTGTTCCGTGGTGATATATTTTCCAAAAAATCAAAAAAGTGCTTAACTAAAGAGATGAATAATCAAGTCTGAAAAAATCACAAATGTGTGCTACAGATTTATAAGAAATTCATTTCTAGCAGGCAGTGTGTTATAGGGTTTTTTTCTTCCATTTTAAATATAAATCATACATTTTCAAAGCACCCGAATCACAGAAATGCTGGTCATTTTGAGCAAAAATGTAGGATAATTATTAACTTATGCTTCTTTATAGCGTATCTTGCATCAAACAGGCTGATGAGTGTAGGTATAAGACCGAAAAATAACTTTTTCAAAAATATTAAATGTTTGTCATTTTGAATTTTTTTTAGTGGCTTGATATTTTTTGCATGGTATTTTAAACTTGGTTTTGACCTGTATGTTACTATATGACACAACATCCCAAGTTTTCTGCACAGACATCTGCTCTATATTCTTAACCTTCCCTCATAGTTTCAACAAATGACAGCCAAAACCTTATCAGTAGCAATAAAAAAATGTAAAAATGAAATATCAATATCACAACTTGTTAATATCTTCTCATCTTATTTCTTTTTAAAAATAAAACAAAAACCTTGAATAAACTTTTTCAGAACCCTTTACAAAGTATAATATTAAATCCAAAATTATGCATTGCTTAATTTAGTAGTGGTAGAATTGTTGTGAATGTTACTGATAAAAACAGCTTCAGAAATTTTAACTGGACATTTTTCTTAAGTAAGATAACCAGTTTTTAGAATGTTCTGAATTAAACGACTAAAAAACATAATTTACAAGAAAGTAAAATTCATTTTTTCAATTGGTAAGGTTTTGAAATATAAAAAAATTCTGAAGAATTATCTGTACAATTTTTGCATCATTTCTCCACGACATCTTCTGAGGTTTTTAAATTCTACTGATGAACTCATGAAATTAAGGTTCCACTCAGCGTCTATGTTCTTATCTATTGGCGAAAATTAGGTTCCTGAAAAACATAACTATATATGCATATAATTTGCGAATAGCGCGAAACTTTTGCAGTATAAAGCGTAAGTTACGCGTAATATCGTAAAAGTTTCGCGTTAATTTGCAAAACTTTCACGTTATGAGGGCAAACCACTATTTTAAACTTTAAAAATTAGCTCAATGGGATTTTTGTAGAGTTGTACTCATGTTAATAAAAGTATTAAACATTGAAACATTTTTATATAAAACAGCATTCTTTACTATTGGCAATGGTGTGATAGGTTTTCAATAAAATCAAGACAAGTATTTCAGATAACCGGTGGCTTAACATATCCGGACAAATTAAATGGGAACCAATATGTCTTGATGCGTATAATGATGTTCCACTGTTAAATGATAACTTATTTTTGTTTCAATATAGCATAAAGAATTCATGCATTATCATATAAAAAAACTGAATAACGAGTTAACAAAAACAAATGCAACGGAAACAGCAGATTTGTAATCTGCCAATGAGGAACGTGATATAAACATGTATAAGTACATGTATGACCTTTAAATCGTTTCCATTTAATTCCTAGTCATAATTTGATTATTCAGTTAAATCGTACTGACTAATTATATCTAAGAAGGTATTAGATGAAAAGATGAAAAAAAACTTTACATGTAATATAGAAATAGCGATGATGTGTTTCAAAACGTACATTATGTATATTTCTCATTTCCTTTCCAGATTCTGCCTGCAGTTTGCCTAAAATGGAATTTCCCTGGATAGTATATGGCTTTTGGCTTTTCATATCCACTGTTATGGTACGTGTGAAAAAACATTAGTCAGCATTTTACTCAATGACAAATGCAAGTTCCTGACAAGGTCTATGTATCGACCATAAAGCAATTTGTAGCTGTAGAATTTATGAGTTTTAATTTCAAAACAGATTGCATTTTAATTATAAATTTCTTATATATATATATATATATATATATATATATATATATATATATATATATATATATATATATATATATATATATATATATATATATATATATATATATATATATATATATATATATATATATATATATATATATATATATATATATATATATATATATATATATATATATATATATATATCCAATGAAAAAAAATCAGAAATCACAAATCTCGAAAAATCATTTTTTACTGTTAGCGCTTTCTGCCTAATGGCTCTTCAGACAGTTAAAAGTTAAATATAAAATTGCTTAGTATATATATATATTGGTATTATGGCTAATATGTTTTAACATGGCTTTTGACCTAGTTTTCCTTGACATTTGAACTACTTTTTTGGAAATAAAAAACATTTTTAACATCTGACTTCTTTTCGACAATTAAGAGGGAAGTGTATGCAATTTAGCATGTATACCGTTCTTTTTAAACAATTGTGAAATACCAGACGAGAGTAAAAAAAGATGGTTTTTCATTGAGGTGATTTAAGCATAACTTATTTCCCTATTTCAGCCATATTGTTAGTCAACATTTCCATACCACTTCATTAATTAATCATGTTCAACATTTTTATAATGGGCACTGAAGTACTCGCAATATACCGAGTCACTGTATGAAATACAGTAGCCAGAAATGCTTAAACCAAAGTACTATGAAAATGTATCATAAAAGGTATTTAAGTCTTACCCTCTTTGGATAGTTTTGCATGAACCTTATGCTGTAAACATATTAATACATGTAGCTGACCACTCTTAGATTGATATCTTTAAAGAAAGTAAAGGCAGGCAACACACTTGTTCCTTGGAACACTCTAGTTATTTGCATAGAGCAGTGTTACATTATTCGAAAGTTCTTTAGGATCTTGTACATCAATTTCTAAGTAAAAAAAAAATTGAAAAAATGCGGTTTTGTCAATAGTGCATCTATTATTAATGTATGCAACAATCATTCCGAGGAGTATTCATTATTATTTCCGACCCAATATTTATGATTTGCTTTTAAACTTACAGACAGTATATCTGTAATTGGAATTTTTAGTTTGATATGAAAATATAAACACTTTAATCTAATTTTAATCGTCCACCATAAACCTAATCGAATTTCGATTGAAATGTTTCGTGAATATAGTTAAGACATTTAAAAATCACAGAAAATTGAGATTTCAAAAATATTACTAGTTTAGGGAATTAAGAAACACATTTTTAAAAATAAGATAGATAAGTATTTTACTAATTTTTTTTTCATTATTAATTCAAATTAACAATCAAACTGTTAAAACGAAAAAGTGATACACTTTACAGATGAACACATGACTGCATCTACATTTAAGGTCAACGTTGATGGACAATAAGGTTTTAGAGTGTTCCACTCAAACAAGAAAAGCAGTTTGTAATTTGGCTTTTGAAAATGCATTAAAATATAATCACCTGGCCAAGGTTGGGGTATCTATAATTTTCAGTCGGGGGGGGGGGGGTACTACATTTAAATATACAGAAAAAAGGTGCAGACGGACGCACCAATAATAAGGATTAGGAACCCTCTTGTTTTTCGCGAATTACTTAAGCTCACAAGTTTAATTTTGTATCGATCAAAGTTAACAAAAATTTGATTATCAAACAAGATCATCAGAAGGAACAAACTACAAGCTTAATCAATAATATCATGCTTAAAACACCTTTAGCTAATATTTGAAAGTGAGCAAAATGCGTGAGAAAAAATATTTGTAGGACAAATTAAAATGAGTACATGTATGTGTGGTGTTTCCAAATATCCCTGTTTTGCATTTATTTACTCACGATTGATTTTGTTTTATGCGTTTCTTAAATAGATGACTGTTCATAGTCTACTCATATTGCATTTTAGGTCTAAATCTCCTGTTTTCAGTAGGATACTTTTTAGATAAAAAATTGTTTTGTAATATTGTCAATGGGAACTGTGCAGACGGAATTGGACTGAACGATTAATCGAAAAAATGTGATGTTTTATTGCAATATTAGACCACTTTTTGACAAACAATTTAGCCGTTATGTATTAAAAAAAAGTATCAATGAATTTAAAAATGAATTGCAGAAAACAAGCCTGTCTACTCAACCTTGTGTCTGGTCTTCTGAAACAATAAAGGTCGTATCTTCGTGTCCAACTACCGTAGAGGAGACAGACAGAGCAGCAAGAATAAAAAAATGCTATGGAATAGGACTGAGGCAAAACTGTACAAGTCCAGAACAATTTAAATATCATTGTGTCTATAGTCTCAAGACGAATTCACTTGTAGAAGTATGTGCAACCGAAATTTTTATTGAAGGTAAGAACAGGCCTGGGGGCCATAAAACTTAGACGAGCTCACTTTTGATCTCAGTATCACTTTTTCCAAAGGAATATATAGTGGAAAAGTGAGATTGAGATCAAAGGTGAGCTCGTCTAAGTTTTATGGCTCCCAGGCCAGATCTTTCACGAATTGTCAGATTGATAATAATGAAAATTTCAAAAACACAAGACATTTGGTTAAATGTATCTTTCTATATTTCTTAGGGCTGTGTTTGGTATATAATGCTGCATTATTTAAGCTTGACCTTATAGAAAGAGTAAAATGCACCGACTTTCCAACACCGTGTCCTGCAAGATATGTTTCTACAAAAGCTCATCTTGGTAAGAATACTAGTGTTACATTATACAAATGATATAATATATGAAAAAAGAAATGCTTCTGGTGAAAAAGTGAACTTTTGTCATTGATTTCCGACTTGTTTATTATCACATACTTTATTATCATGATTTAATGTTTATTGTTAATTAAATCAATATTGTTTATACATAATCCACATTCAGAATTTGATACTTTATTATTAATTCTTAATTTTTAAGATGCACCATGTTATAAATTCATAAATCTGACATCAAGTCTCACTTTACCGAAAGAAAAAACAGATGAAAAAAAGACAACAGACGAGTTGTAAGTAGTAATTACAATCAATTTGATACATGAAATTGTTAGAAACATGCTAGCTTCAGAACTGCAGCTCATTGGTCAAGAAAATTCGGAGACTTAAAGCAGATCTTTTGACGTTACGCGCGATGTTGGTGCAATTTTACAATTTTAGAATCCGACCTATTAAACACATCGGTGATTTTAAAAACATACTCGCAATATAGATGAATTTGGTATGATTGGATAGATTTTTAATAGAACTACCCGATTCTAGTAAGAAAAAAACATTTGAATAATTTTTATGCAAAAAGTAGAATTTTAAAACGCATATAAAAGGTATTTTAAGCGTGTAACGCGTTACACTTTTTTTAGCAGGGATCGCGCATTTTTCGTGTGTAGAGCATTCAAAATTGAATCTAGATTTCTAATTTTCCTCACAAAACAAGAGCAATCCATGTCGTTTGTGACTTTATAAAAGATTCTGCATTAAATGTTGGCAAGAAATAAAAGCGATAGTTTTTACAGATGAAAAAAATATGTAACGCTTTCAATTAAAAACGTGTATATGAATATGAACAATAAATTTTCTCATTTACAAGAAAGTTTAAATAGAAACAAATTATATCAATATAATATGCCTTTCTCATAGATTTGAAATATTTCAGTCATATTGATATCGAACTGCATTCTTAGGAGCTAGTAACTGGACTACAGAAATGTCTAGCGTCTAAAATGACGCGCAAAAATAACACAATGCCTTTTTTCGAGTCGTCAAATTATATTGTTTTTCCCATCGAATACAGAAATAATTCAATGTTCATAATGTGCTACACTTCTCGGTTTGATAAGATATCAGATTAATAAATTTACACAATTAATTAATATTTTACGCAACATTTAAGAGGTTCAACATATTTGTCCAGTGGACGTTCTTGCCGGGTAAAGTTCGCTTTGCTTCAACGTACTACATGAAAATGCGTTTAAGATTGCTTCGAAAAATAAATAAAATTTATCATATATTTACAAATCCATAGCGCACTTTAAGTTCATGAGTTTAATTATAAATTATCTATGACTTTTTAAACTCGTATTTCAAGTACAAAGAGATAGCGTTAGGGTACCACTCAAGCATATTACACTATAGACGCATTACGTTAATTTCTTCCGTAGCGCTATGAAAGCGTAACGTCAAAAGTCACCAACATCGCGAGTAACGTCTTTGTAATCAGTGGTATTTCCAGATGGCGCTGTCTCGAACATAATGTTTAATCAACCTTATTGTAACTGGGAAAAAAATCTTTTGATATGAGTATTTGCAATCCAAAAATCCCATTTTCAGGGATGTGATGGAACACAATAGTTCCGTAAAATATGCCAGTTTAACCCCATTCTTTAAGTATTATGACATTTATCGTACATTTTATGTGGAATGTCAGAGTACTAAAGAGCTTCAAAATTAGGTAAAAATAGGGGAGATGTTTCTTTTCTCAAAATGATTAAGTTTCTCTGTAGCCAGTTCTAACATTTCTTAGGTCTATAACAGTTTTTACAAAGGGGAAAAACCTTAGTTGGGAAAGAAACACCTCACCTAAGGACTCTATATCTATTTTAAAGATTAACGCGAGATAAATGCTGAAATAAAAGTTTGCAGTGAAACATGTGGAGATAACGTACAATATTTATGATGAAAAGTCCATAAAAATTCAAAACATGAGCAGAGCAAACACGGACCACCAAAACATCAGAGGTGGGATCAGGTGCAAAATATTTAATTTGTCAATAACGTAGATACATTTTTATGAATCAATTTATATGAATCCGTTTCCTCTTCTTCTTATACGAGAATAAAGCTCATGCATTTAACATTAACTGATTCAGACGTATGTTTACATGCAGGTTTATTCCAATCACTTCTTTTAGATATATACAAGCTTCTGCATAGGGACTACATACCTTTATATTGGAATTGACCCCCAAAACTATGTGAGGGTCTTTTTAGTGCAATAGCATTACGCTTAGAGACCATAATAAATTAATTCTTATTATACAAACACTAGAAATATTAAAAAAAAGGTACATAAATACAGCTACGATCCTCTTGAAAGATGGATTAATTACTTTTATATTTCTTGTTCTTAAACAGCAATTAATAATAATAATAATAATAATAATAATAACTAGATACGATCTCGTTGCAAGCAACGAGTGGGTCTTCCGTCCGATTCTTGATAAGATGAGATACGATTTTGATTGAGAATTTTTTTCTAAAATAATGATAAAGATTGTGAAGAAGAATGATTTTGCCTCCATAATCTGTAAACAGACATTGAACATTAAGACGTAACCATTCGACTTTTGGCTACGTTAGGGATCAGCCTTTTCTTCTTCATATTATCTTAAAGCTCTCAGAGTTTTGAACACTTTTTGTTCAACAACTATTCAGAAATTCTCTTTCGTTTTCGAGTTATTTTCAAAAGAAATATTTAGGGGCCAACCCTTTAACTCCTTTATAGGCACATTTAGCGAAAAATGAAAGGTTGCATATTGTTTAGAACATTATTTTGAACATCTTTTGTTCAATATTACTTATCAAAATATTTCCCACTTTTGAGATATAGTGCGTCAAAGATTTAGCATTTTGGCCCCTTATGGTCCCTTTTTATGCACCAAACGACATTCAAAACATAATATAAAGTTTTAGATTGTTGAGATTAACATTTTTGCTTCAGTAATGTATAACACAATATTAACTGCTAAAGAGTTATCGATTAAAGACTTTTGGCCTTCTCAGCCCTAATTTGAGTGCCCAGGCCCTTTTTCTTGATCTCATCTTAAAGCTCTCAGGATTTTAAACACTTTTTGTTCAACAACTATTTAGAGATTCCTTGTCGTTTTCGAGTTATTTGCAAAAGAAATATATATGGGCTAACCCCTTCAACTCCTGAATGGGGACGTTTAGCGAAAATTGAAATATTGCATATTGTTTAAAACATTATTTTAAACATCTTTTGTTCAATATAACTTATCAAAATATTTCCGACTTTTGAGATATAAAGCGTCAAAGATTTAGCACTCTGGCCCCTTATGGTCCTTTATTATGCACCATAGGACATTTTAATCATAATATATAGTTGTAGATTGTTGAGATAAACATTTCTGCTTCAGTAATTTATAACAAAATATTGACTGCTAAAGGGTTATCGATTGAAGACTTTTGGCCCCTCTCGTTCCTTTACTTGAGTGCCCAGCCCCTTTCTCTTGATCTCATCTTAAAGCTCTCAGGATTTTGAACACTTTTTATTCAACAACTGTTCAGAGATTCTTTGTCGTTGTCAAGTTATTTGCAAAAGAAATATTAAGGGTTAACCCTTCAACTCCTTAATGGGGACGTATAGCGAAAAATCAAAGGTTGCATATTGTTCAGAACATTATTTTGAACATCTTTTGTTCAATATTACTTATCAAAATATTTACCACTTTTGAGATATAAAGCATCGAAGATTTAGCATTTTGGCCCCATTTAGCCGCTAATTATGTAATATAAGACATTAAAATTATAATATACAGTTGTAGATTGTGAATATAAATATTTTTGCTTCTGTAATGTTTAACAAAATATTGACTGTTTACGAGTTATCGAAAAAAGACTTTTGGCCTCTTTTGGCCTTTAATGTGATTAGTCAGCACTTTTTTCTTAATATCATATTAAAGATCTTGTCATTTTGCAAAAATTCTGTTCATTATGTTTTAACAAAATAATGATACTTTAGAAGATATGATGCAAAATGTCTAAAAAATTCAGTCATGATTCGTGTCCTAAATTTTAACCCATACCAAGCTTCCATATTAGGCACTTTCGGAAAATTTACTGACCATGTTGCAATATGGCAACATGTCCTTTATCATCCCTGAAAAAATCAGCTTTCTAGCTTGAGTCGTTATTTAGTTCCATCACAGACATGGAGATCATCAAAATATCGATCAAAGGGCGATAACTTCCGCCTGAAAGTGAATTTCAAAACAATAAAAAAAACGTATAAGGTTTAGATAAAGATACATCTTCTCTGAAAATTTCAAGAAAATCGGTCGAGCCATCTCCGAGAAATCTTCTGCACAAAAATTGTAAAGAAAAAAAAGAATCACTAATAAATGACCTCAATATCACAAGTATAACCGCTAAAGTAACGTGACTGTCACATTGTATGACGAGTGTAAATATTGAATCCAATCGTCATTAATATGCAGTTAATAACCATTATCATGCTTCTTAAGGAGGATCGTTACACCTTTTAAGACAGTATAAAAGATTTTTTAAACATGCATTTGCTAATGATAGGCAAAGTATCAAATAAAATAATGTTCTTATGTATTTAACTTTAGTTTTTTTTTTGTAAATATGTAAAATTCATTTTGTTAAAACTGTCTCATTCTATATTTTCACAAAACTGTCACATTCTACATTTTCAAAGATCTTGTGCTTTAAATTTCTATTCAAAGTTGAATGTCACAAGACATTCAGATAAAAAATAGAAAAAAAATAAAACAGCTTTATCTTGAGCATGATTGGTAAGATTTTTATCAATATCTGGAAAAATATAGTTTCACGGGATTAAAATGACGAAATGATAAGAAAAAAATTGAAGGAAATTGAATAACTGACAAAAACTTAACATAAAATTCATGTGTTACATGTATACATCTGCTTCAAGCGCGGGATCAAATACCTTGGTACTGATTTTCGATATGCATGTACTTGAACTAAATTTTGAAACTTGCACAAGTATTGGAAAATTAGAGACAAAGACATGTATCTATTTTATTCACAGTTTTGATAAAAGCAGATTAATTTACCGTTTTTCCAAATTGTATTATTATTTGTGCTTTTCCCGTACGACATGAATATTTATTTGCTTAGATCAAGAATTTAAAAAAAAAAATCGGTAATAACATGCCTTAATTATATGCAGGTGCATATCAGAGACATTGTTAACTGTAGAAATATTAAACGTGTTAAAGCATGAACTAAATATTTCAAATTTCCTTTGAAATTACTGTAAAGTGTGAATCATCAACTAATATACTTGTCAAAATTTGTAAGTCCCCACTTTTTTTTTCAAAAATTCAAAAACCTTAACTTCAATTTACTAGTTGCTTACAAATTTGCCTTTAATTTGTAATACTTACCTGTCAAAACCAAAAAAAATTTAATCGGATTTGTAATTACTAGACCGTGACCATTCTTATTAAAAAGCATGAAGTACGAGTTCCATATGTTTTTCGGGTGTATTCTTCATATTTTTTTTACTTCCATGTGTTTTCCATCTTTAATTGATAACGAAAAACAGAAAAAAGCTTGAATAAAATGCGGTGTATGTCCACACAACAATGTGCAAGCGAAGTTGCAATGGACCAAGCTGGTCGTAGTTAACGAAATGTCTGTTTTCTTTCACTGTATGACCTTGTTTTACTTAAAACCTTTTTAATTACTGCCAGAAAAACCTACAAAGTGTACCTGAATTTCTTTTAATCGTTACAAATCGCTAGATTTTCAACAAACACCACAAAATCATCCTACAGTTTATCCGAAAAATCAATGGAACCGGAACCGGAAGTATCCTCCCCTCAATGTCACACTGGAGGCGTGGGGAATAAATGTAAGAAGACATGCAACTTTTGTTGATAAGGCACAGACAATTTCGATAAGCCCCTTTATCATCCGAATCACAACCCTAATAAGAACATGTATGGAAGAAGAAAAACCGGAGTTTAAGACAGTTTTTCCAGCAGCAGAATCTTGCGGAACTAGAGGACGGCCTTGTCTCCACACGGACAAACATTAAATACAAGATTTTTTCTTAAATAGTGTGAACTCTTTGAGGAACGGTTGTCTTGTTGTGGATTCGTTTGAATGGAGAATAATGCAGTATTTAACGTTGTGAATTTTTAATTCAAGGGTGCCCTAACTTTTCTACATATTGTGTTAAAGCGCTTCAATAAAAATAAATTAAGTAAGAAAAATTATTTTGCTACTTTATTATCCTGTATACTTATTTAATTATACTTTTAAAATAATTTAATATGAGAGGTGTAAAGCAAAAACTTGCCTGGGGACTTAGAAATTTTGACTAGTATACATGTACGACACAAAACCTCGGGTTTATTTGATCTCACGTAAAGGATTGGATATGCATTAAGGGTTAGTTCTGTACCCTGCGAATCTACATAGTTACTCTACCAACTGCAAGAGGGTGATGAACATAAATAAAATGATAACAAACTCTGAATTCTGTCTCATTTGCCATTGAAAACCTGAAGAGCAAATAATCATAAGAGGACTATATTTCTAAGCATAATCAATAGGAAAACAGATTCTGTACCCACTGCCCGAAACGACACTCATAGCTGCGAGCTATAACAACGACATTGCCTGGGTCAAGAATAAATTCAGACAACTGCACATTCATTCCAAGGAATTTTTTCCACAGAAATTTTGACCCACAATGTTTCCTTTGGTACACAAATGCTACGCAAATTTCTCGCGAGAATGCGAGAATAACAACAAAAGTTAAACGATTTATAAACTTCTACACATGTATTGATTAACTGAATTTATCTGTTGCAGAAAAATAGCAATAATCTGATTGAAATCAGCCCTGTTCAGGCTTATGTTTGATTAAACAATATACAAACGACGTCATATGACGTCAGAGTCTTATACGCACCTAATGTCACGTGCATTTTGACGAGTCTGTTCTAAATGAAAACTAGATAATAAAAGTATCTGTGCTCGCCCTAACGGTCGCACCGTCAACATATCAAACATGCAATATAAGGACAAATATAGTGAAATCGATAATTTTCGTCGAAGTGCAGTTTTCGATGTTTCATCCACGAAATAAAATCCCGACAATTTTTTTTCCTCAAACCTCGAAAAATTAAACCCACGAAATTAATTAATTGTACAGAAACAGACAAATAATTTTGAATCTCTTAAAGATATCACTCTTAAAACAGTGATAAGAAACTAAGTGTCATAAATGTACATCTAGATGAAATATTTCAGATATAACACATGTCCTGCTTTCCATTCACAATGAAAAAAAAAATGCGTAAATTTATACGCCACGTTTTCTTTCAAAAAATAATATAAAATAAAATAAATTGACATTGTGCCAAGAACATGTGATCAGAGTCCTAAATATTTCTTTAAAATTATTTGTTATTTGTTTGTCTCTAATGTAATACATGTAACAACACTACGTTAAAGTTGACGAATTATTAAATTTATTTGATATATATATATATATATATATATATATATATATATATATATATATATATATATATATATATATATATATATATATATATATATATATATATATATATTACGCGATTGCTCTTGTGTTTCTGTGCTCGACTAAAAAAAAATGTCAAATACGAGCATGGGTAAAAGAAAACAATATCAAATTTATTTATTTATTTCAAAGACAAGTGTAAGCGCTTAAGGAGCATCTCTACACCTATAAAGTATAACTGACTTTTGTTGCATGCATTTGTTTCTAATAATAGGCTACATGTCCGATAAAATAAGGTTTCAAAATATTTCAATTTATTTTTTTTTTTAGAAATATTTGAATTTTTTTTGGTTTATTTTGTTAAAACCCTCCTATCTATACCTTTAAAAGTCCAATGCTTTAAATTTCTCATCGAATTTCAATGTTATAAAATATTGAAATGATAACCAACAAATTTAAAAGGAAAATCAGCGTAATTTTTATTTAAATTTACAAAAATACACACAAGAAAAACTAAAACTGCGTTTTCTTGAGAATAGCTGGTTGCATCTTCTCCAATATCTGAAAAGATATATAATATCAAAGGGTAAAAACAATGACAAAAATGAAATTGAAGAAAATTGAAAAACTATCAAAAATTTCAAACATCACAAAAATCCATGTGTGAGAGATCCGGTTCAAGTGTCGGCTAAAATATCTTGGTGCATGTACTTTTTTTATATAAACTTTTAATAAACTCTACTATAATTTGCACAATTATTGAAAAAAATGCCAAGCAAGGGCATTGAAAGGAGTTCGTATTGTACAAGAACTGCTTTTCAAATTTACAGACCTACTTAGAGTGTGACATTATACGAAAAGGCTTTCAGATAAATGTTACACCTAACATAGGGCCAATCTCCAAACGCTTTCTGGAACGCTGGGACGTTATTTCATGAAGATGTTCTAAACAATAGATACCCGTATTCTCTACGTGTGGACGGAGATGTAAATCAATAAATTTTTACATGTAGTTTTCCACTGGCAAGTGGTTGCGTCTCCATATGAGAGAAAATATTTCGTGGGGGAATAAAATAGCACTTAATCAATCGATTATTCAACCAAACTTGACACAAAGCATTCTTGGTTAAGGAAGATTCAAATTTGTTCAAAGGAAAGGCCAAATATATTCCCAAGAACCACAAGGCCACAAAGAGGAAACTCACATTGAATCATCCGAAGTAAATGTAGACGAGAATCTGTTCAAATCATGACAAACGGGGGTAGAGTGGGACCTCAATAGACTTCCAAAATTTTACAAAGGAATATCTTGGAAAAAGCTCCTTCTCAATGGAAAAAAAACCTAATTGGTAATATTTTTATGGTATATGTAGCATCCTTAGGTAGTGTGAAATCAAGTTTGCTCACAAGATGACCCGTGCTGGTCACACATTTTCTTGTTTAAATTCAAGGTTGTTCAAATCAGAACCTAAAGGAATAGGATGGGGAAGCAATGATTGATCAATTTTTAGATATACTAAAATATATTCATTTTTTTTAGAATATCTAAAACAAAATTAGTAATTCGATATGGAAATAATGGAAGTATCTTCAGGTATAGTTAAGATTCAGGTTTATTCAAATGAAAATCCCCAGGGTTCTGATGTGACAACAATAATATATCAAAATTTAACATGCATGTAAGAATTAAAATCTTCTCCAAAACGGTAAAGTTTTTTTTTCGTCAAATTGACATATAAACATACGTATGTACTGAAGATTCAATATTTATTCAAAGCTTGACAGGGATGGATGTAATAGGGTTGAGGGAGCCACAATGGGAGATATCTAATAAGCAAGAAAATAGTTTAGATGTGCTTTATTGAAATCAGTATCAGGAATAAAACAAATATTGAATACTTACATTTAAAAATCAACACCTGCTTGTAAATTAATTTCTTTTTATCCCATTTCATTGGAGTTGCATGGGATTAAGTAACGCGTGCAATGTTTATGTTTATGTGCAAAACGGAAGTGACGTAATATGCTTCGATATCGACGTTGAATCCTAGTTTATTTTTTAATTTATAAATTTTCTTTTCTTTTCAAGGCTTTGGAATCTAATACCCACAATGTTTGCAGTAATGTTTGTCGTTATTATCATCTTAGTGATAGGTAGGTACAATTTTTTCTAAAGCAAGCAAGAACTATTAATTACCTATATTTCCATTTTTTTAAACTGTGATTTAATTTTTTAAAGTAAGGTATGATGATTTCGTGGTGTTTCGATTGAAATGTAAATTTTCCAAAGCGAGAGGCCAGGTAAAGTTCTAATATGCATGTCTATTTCTAAACCGCTCAGTATTGCCAGATCAATGCTGATCTAGGTGATGATTTACTTGATGCTTAATAATGAATTGACCATTAGTGTTAAATGTCAGGTGTATATTTTCTAAAGTCAAACGTCTCTGAAAAAAAGGACAGTATTGCATAAGAGCACTTATTTTCTTAACAGGCTTACATAATGAGTATTTATCACAAGTTTATATTTTTCACTCTTATTTTCAATGTAGAGACAGACAAGCATACTTTATTTTGTCTTCATCATGAAAATGATATTCCCTCAAAATAACCCAGTAGTTAAAACACCAGGATCTGAAGGTCGCATGTTCAAATCTTGATCGTGTCCCTCCTAAGTCGATTAGAGCTGTAAATGCTTAAACTTATATAAGTCAAACTACTGTTAGATCTATGTATTTCTCCATCATATAAACATACAGGAAAAAAATATCTTCATTGCTGCATGAATTTAGTCAGAGGTGAGAAGTCAAAACGTGACCTTATCACACGTCGCAGTAATATTCTCAGGTAACTTGTTCTCCTTATTTTTCATGTATAAATATGAACAAACAAGCAAGTAAAATAAAATAAATTAATAGATAAATAATAAATAAACATATATTTCATACAGTTTTCTTCATTTAACCTCTGTACATAGAGAATATACACGATAGACACGAGCCATTGTTCACAAGTTATGTCACTTTTGTCACCTGCAAAGTTCCTAAAGTTTATCCTTATTTTTCGGTAGATTTTTAATTAAATCTTCATAATAAATATATGTTTTCTTCCATTCTATTCATGATAAATATGTAAAACTGTTGAAAAATATCAAAATATTGCAATCACTTCAGGAACAGCTGATAAACATTTCGGGGTTGTCGTAACTGTAAGCTGTTGCCAGTGTCTTCAATGCCTTTAGATATTGAAATCGTACATTGAATGTTTTTTATCAAATTTAACACATTAAACACATTATAAAAATGTCGAATGATATGTTTTTGATATAATTCTTTTAGGAAAGTAATGCCTCTATTTAAATTAATGCATCATGTGACACCGTCACTACTTTTGTATTGAGAAACAAATATGCAATTGAAAAAAATGAGGTATTTAAACAATAAAATGTTTTCTTTGTTTGTTAATAGTGGAATTAACGGAAGCATCTGTTGCAGAAAAAATACATAACCCACGTAAGCGGGTTATGTAATTTTTTTCTGCAATAGCTGCGACCGTTAATTCCAGTAATAACAAAATAAAGAAAGATATTTTATTGTTTATATTTATATTTATATCTGTTTCAATAATCATATAAAGTAGGATTAAAAAGATTAACTATTGTATTCATGATGCGATCGCCTTCATACGTTTCATTGATGGAACAGCCACTGATCAAGAAATCTGAACAGGTGACATGCCTAATGTAGTTCATGCAGTAATTAACACAATGGTTTTTCTAAAGAAATAAAGGGGAAAATATTCAGAGGATGCTAATATATAAAAAATAACATTTCACATTGTGTGTCTATATACTGTTTAACGAGACCGTGGAGTCTAATTATTTCTGCCCTAGGGATTTTAATATTTTTTATAATATATTTTTACTCTTTTTTATTGTTTTAAGATAAAAAACATCGAGTGTTAACCATCCCGATTCCTTAGGGGGTGATTTCAAATGTTTTCAAATTTTACTATTGGGAATCTTTTTGGATTGCTTGATTGTATATTGTTTAACGTCCCTCTCCAGAATTTATCACTCATTTGGAGACGCCATTACTTGCCGGTGGAGAGCTGCAAATTTTGTTTTATACTCGGCACTCAGGGCCATCGAGCAGGGAGAGATCTGTTTCGTGTCATCACCTACTGCGACATGGAACCTCGGTTTATAATGTTTCATCCGAAGGAAGTTATCGTAAAAAGTCACCAAACTGTGAAAATAAAAAAAAAGTTCACCATCTAGGTCTGGCAAGGAATTGATTACTAAAATTATTTCTTCAAAGCCTAGCTAAAGGACCTCTAATATTGCCATATTACGAAATAAATATATTTCAGTGCACAAGAATTATCGGCGCATATGTTTTTTATCCTCGGTAAAATAGCCATTTTTAAATTGCTGGTATGTTTCTTTGGATGTTCTGTCATCAGTTTTAATATAATATCCATGGACGTCTTAAACATAGACAAATTATGTTTGTTTTTCCAGCGTCATGCATTGCTGACAAAATCGGCGACGTCGTTTTAGCCATTTCAGGATCTTTTCCTAATTATTGTCGTAAAATCACATTTTTCAGACCAGAATTGGTCTTTGCTAATTTTATTTTTGTATTAGAATTCAAAATAACTTCAAAAGTGCACTGATGCACAAATGACTGTATAAAATTAAAAAGCTTTGCAGTTCGAACTTGAGGTTTAAAGTGGATTGGTCCTTAATTTATAAAATTCCCCCTCATTTTTAAGTTCTAACAATAAAGAGGAAGGTATGGTTTCCATACAAATTTTGCCCTGTGAATTTCTAAAAAAATGAAACTGGTATAAGTTGAAAACTCATGGTTTTTTTAATAATTGAAATTCAATGCAGAAAAATCATACAAGTCATATTTCTCACATGTGTTTTTAAATGCTAATTATGACGTCATAAACATGTGCATTTTCCCGTATTTTCTTAAAAAGTTGCAGAAGACACCAATTTTCAATGGAATTTTTTTTCAGATGACATTGTACAGAGTCATTTATCTAAATAATATTTAAGCCAGTTTCAAAACTTTTTGATGTCATTACATTTTTCGGGCGCAATAAAGCTGAAGTATAACAGTCCTGTTAGTTTTAGGCTGCTTTTGTAGTGAAATGTACTATGCTAGTTCTGAAATATCTAAATATTTCCTTTCAATTTTTTCAACATAGTGCGACAAAAAGTAAATAAATACTGAAAATCTTGGAAAAAAACTGATCTTATTTTAATATAAAATTTACACTTTTATAGTAAAATCTGAAAATTTAAATCATATACCCCCACTATTGATGATCGTTTCTAAATATTTAAGATAATATTGGTTTAAATTCAGAAAAAAAGTTTAAGACTTTAAAATAAATTTCTTGCTTATTAAATTTTCAATGTCAGAAAAATCACATTGTATCAGTACAAAAAGGTAAAAAAATTGATTATGTAAAGCAATTTGAATTTTTCCTAGTCACAATTAGAAAGTGTCTCTTTTCAAATATACTTAGAGTTCATTTCGTTTCATGTTTCAATTGGAAAAAAAATTGGAGGGAAAAGTTCGAAGAGGTAATTTTTAGTTTAAGACACAACTTTCAATGCAAAAAGATCATATTAAATGTACTTTAACGCCAAAAAAGCATACTGACCACCATTTTTTTTAATTGTAATTAAGGTATGAATGTAGAAACGAAAAATATACTTGACAGAAAAACATAATTAAAGACTTTTAATAGCAAGATAGAACGTTGTTTTGCACTACCTTCATCAATATTCATGAAAATACTAAAATCTACTAAAACTGCTTTTTAATTGCAACGACTTTAGTAAAACCCTTTTTTTTATTTCTTTAAAACATATCAGAATTTTTTTCAAAACATTTAATTGATTTGTTTCACACAAAAATCGACGTTTTTATGATGTGCAATTCTTTTAAATAGCAACAGTAAATTCTTTGTTCTAAAAATCACCGGCGCTTTAAAGTGTAAACAGTGTGACTTTCGGATGAGTCTTTAAATCGAGGTCAAATACCACAGCAAGCACGATAAAACAGGTTGATGAAACTACAATATCAACATCCTCCTTTAAAGAAATCATTTCGAAAGTTCTGTATGTTGATCTTGTCAGCAAATTCAATTTATCGTTGAGTCATTTGCTGACTGACGTTTTTCATATTAATTGTTAGTCCTTTATTTATACACTTAATTGACGACGCATTTTCCCGTCATTTCCCAATTATGACAAGGAACACTCGGCGGGTATGACCGGTCGGAAGGGGATGCTCACTTATCCATGTGACCTGATCCCACCTCCGATGGTTTGGAGGTCCGTGTTTGCTCATGCACTTCTATTTTGCATTGTTTTATGGACTTTTGATCTTGAGTACTTCTCGTTTTCTCAATGTCTGTCATGTACATTAAATCAATCAACGATTACACAGAATATTAGGACAATAACAACAATAACCGCGTTCGTAAATATTTTTCTTATTACATACCTATATAGGGGAATGAGATGTTAAAAACGGTTTGATTGAAACTTCCATAACCTTTTGTACCGATGAAATAGAAAATTATGGGGCATGTAGTTTTTGTCCAGTCAGACTGTCTGTCTCTCTCCTCAACCTTGCTCATGAAGTTTGGTTTTTATAATTCATCTCGTATTCTTTGTAAAAAGACCTTTGGTTGGGTACAACCACATTAGACTTGGTATTGGAGTTTGACTTCATACAACCATTTCCACACTTTAACTTTTGCAATAACCTATGAACAGAGCTAGGGCATCATAAATATTTCTAATTTTTTTTTCTTGTGATAAAAACTTTCAGTAGGATAAAGTATTTTGACCCTTTGATATTGTCTTTCGAGTTTGACAAACATTTTCTGTAAGATGCCAAATTGTGTATTATAAATAATACAAAATGCATTTTTTTTTAATTCTTCGATATAGCCAAAGGATGCCAATAAAGCAATCCTATATCTTAGTTTTAATTTTCTCTTTGTGCTGAACAAATGGGTATATATAATCATGAGAATTAATTCGTTAACCAGGGGCTTTACTACAGCCAGTAAGGAATGTAAATTACTACAGTAGGCAGAAGACACATTACTGCTACTAGATA